AGTGGTTTTTTAACATCTTTGGCCTGAGTTCAGGTGTTCCGTGTGTAAGCTCCAGACGTTTGTGGCTGTCATTCGGTGTCACCTCCCCATAGCTCCCAAAGGTCCCAAGTGGTGAAGGTCCTTCTCTGAGAATGACAGGAGCCTGAAGGCACACGGGCCTGCTTGCTGTGTGCTATTAAAATAGCAGAGACAGTGAAGGTGAGAGGCTTCCATGTAGAACACCCCACTTCTGTCAACCCCCTGGAACTCCACGGCAACCCTCAGGCCTGGTAGTCTCCAAAGGCATCCCCTTCCCATTGCCTTCCAGCTTCTCCCTGACCGCCGAACGTGGCTTTCACAGGCAGGGTGGAACGGGATGGGTGTGTCAAATAAAATGTAGAGTATAATTTTCCTCTGAATTTAGGGAAGGATAATGTGGAAGATTTATCTCCGGCCAAGCAGGACATTTCCCAGGAAGCTGGAGCTAGAGCTGTCCAAGGGGGCAGTGTGCCTGTGGGCAGGAAGGGGGAGAGCGTCTCCCCTGGAGTAAAGGGCCATCAGCAGTCAGGGAGGTTGAGGGTGATTCCAGTGTGATTACACATTTAAGCTACAGGATTGCGAATACCCTTTCTTACTTGGTGATTTTGTACACATATACTCCCTTAACAAACACCTGTCTTAGACCAGCGTTGCTCTGTAGTATATGGAAGAAAATAATCGTTCAGTGGTAATGCGTGAGGTTTAGTTGGCTCTCCAGGTCCACCATCACGCATTGCTCCGAGAAGCTGCTACACGGGGGTGTCCTTTGCTGCGCGTGACCTTGAGGATTAGTAATAGTAGCATCCAACACCCAGGTCTGTGAAGGGAAGCCCTCAGAGCTGCTGTGTTGGAGGCGGGGGAGGCTGGTGGGCGACTGCAATGAAGGGTGGGTGAGATGGAGGAGTTTGTGGAGAAGAAAATTAAGTTTTCAGGTTCCACCTTACAAAGGACAAGAAAGAATGAAAGGGAGAACCACTGATCTGAGAAATTTGGGTTGTATACCACAAATTCAGAATGAAGTAAATGATGACTTCTCAGTGCTGTAATGATTTCATAAGTACTTCAGCAGAATATCTGTTATATACCTTTTAAAATGGAAGTCTGTGTGTGTACGGGGTGGGGTGGGACAGGGGGACAGGACGGATTACTGGCCTGATGTTTCTACTTGAAAAGCTGCCACCATTTTCCCTTCCTGCTGTCAAGTATCATACATTTCAAAGAACTACATCTCCTAGCATCTGGGTCCAAAAGCTGAACTCTCTTCTCTCTCTCTCCCCTAGGTTTCCACTTGAGCGGCACAGTGACAGAGCCTGCAATGCAATCGGAGCCAGAAACGGTTTGCAACGTGGCCATCAGCTTTGACCGTTGCAAGATTACCTCAGTGACCTGCAGCTGTGGAAACAAGGACATATTTTATTGCGCCCATGTTGTGGCACTGTCTTTATACCGCATCCGCAAGCCCGATCAGGTCAAACTGCATCTTCCCATTTCCGAGACCCTCTTTCAAATGAACAGAGACCAACTACAAAAGTTTGTACAGTATTTGATCACAGTGCACCACACCGAAGTTTTGCCAACCGCCCAGAAATTAGCAGATGAAATTCTTTCCCAGAATTCTGAAATCAACCAAGTTCATGGTGAGTACAGTTACTGAATGAATCAATTACTAGTTCCTTCTCTAGATCTCTTCTTCCCCTTTTATAAATTCATTTTCCCCTGCATAAGAGTTAGTTAAATGTGAACGATAGCATCCGCACCGCTCTGAAGTTCTTGTAAGACTATAAAGTTTAGTCTTGTATTCTAAAAGGTTTGTTTTGAAGGGTTTTTTGGCATTCTACTGGGGGGCAAGGAAAGCCTTCCATTGATGAAATACCGATGAGGTCACCAGCGTCAGAACTGACTGGTTGACAATTGGTTTCTAATTCACATATTCTTTACATTTGGTAGAATGCCATTACACACTAGACAGTTATTAAAGAATCTAATTCACCCTTATAAGTTGAAGTGACTTGGATTTATTCATCCTTTAAAAAATCTTATTCAATTTTTTTTCACCTCAGCGAAGTTTTTGACAGAGTGCCTCATATTAAGAAAAGACAATTTTAAATTATTAGAACTTACTTAATGAGAGTTCAGGATATGAGTAATCATTCTATCTAGCAACTCTTAAAATGAGTTTCTTTTAAATCTTTAATACATCGAACATGGTGTTTCATTTATTTCTAAAGACATTTATCTAGTATTTATTTTGTTTAACATAAATATGACAGTGCACAAGGATTTAGGTGCAACTTTTAGAAATACCCGTCATTTATTTAATATAGTATTAGTATAGGCTAAATAATTGTTGAACTATAGGTTGTTGTGGTTTTAAGACATTTATATAATTGACAAATATTTCAAAACACAGTAGGGAGAAGGACATAGCTCAGGCACCTAACGTTTTTACATTTCTTTTGCTGTATTGATTAGTGATATAGGACAAATCATTCAACTCTAATTTCCTAGGTTGTCCTCAAAATGACCACTTCACATTTTTAAACTGTGGAGTACAAAATGAAGGGGAGCGCATAGAACATGCAAGTGCCGATTGGCCAATGTTCTCAAATGACCTGCACGCAGTTGTGCGGTCCCACGCCCTTCTCAGTGCAAGCATTGCTTGCCCCTGAGTTTTTGGGTGGTAATCACTTTCCTAACTCGGTGGTTTCCTGTTGATTTTACATCTCTAAACACTTTGGTTTTCTCTTTCCTTAAATACAATCTTGCAGTTCGATTCCCTTATGACTTTCACTGAAAATTATGCTTTTAAGACTCACCCATCCCACTTGAGCTGGCCGAGCTGTTTGTGCTTGTTGTTGCTGTAGGGCGCGCTGTCACTGGAAGTGTGATGCACGTATCATCGTTTTCAATGATGGCACTGGCCTCCTGGAAACAAAACAGATACAGTCAATGTCAATTATTTTAAATTTTATGTATTTTAATTATATTTAATTCAAGAGATCTGAAATATTGGTTCAATAGTATCAGTTTGAAAAAATATTGATATATTTTAAATTATTATTATTATTATTATTTTTGCTTGTGCCAGGCTCTGAAATCCGGTATCTTGTTTATACTTACAGCATGTTGCATATGAATTAACTCAACAGCAGCAGGACTTTGCGTTAAGGCAACACAGCTCTAGCATATTCTGGTATGAAAGTGCCACTCTTTCTTTGTCCATTCCACTGTTGATGCATTTCATTACGAAAAGTGCCGCTGTGAAGATCTCTTTGACAAGTCTCCTGGTGTTGTGAGATACTTTTAACATGGCTTTTATGTCAGGGAAATCTGTATAGCCTTCTTTCTAGTCATGCTCCCCCTATCAGCTCCAACTTGTAATAAGGTTATCTTAGGTGTGTAAAAGCACTCCGGTGGCAGGGTCTGTGAGCATCCAATAGCAGGAATTGAAACAGCTTAGGTGTACAAGTACCTTCGACCCACCGAAAGCACACTTGCTTAAGGGCTCTTCCAAGTGGGCTTCGGCTCTGTCATGTCCTCTGGCTCACATTTTTGAAAAGTCCAGGCCAGCCAACAACCATCCAGAGGTTTCTCACAAGCTTATTTGCGGCTACATATTAAACTGTTGTTTGAAGAGTGAAGAACAGGGTAAATGCCATTTCGCCTGTCTGTGCTTCCTAGCGACCCTACAGGGCAGAGTAGACCTGCCCCACAGGGCAGATGGCCATGCCCGCCACCCACTCAGAGTGGTTGTTCGCTCCTTTCACTGCACCGCCGTGGCACGTCTTGGACCCTGAGCACCCCCAAAGCCTTTTATCCTGAATATTTGAAAATTTAATCTGTGTTGAAATAGTAGGCTTAAAGACACACCGTAAACTGAAGTCAGATGAGAGACTATATTTATATGACAGTTTCTTTCAGACATTCTTAAATGAGAAGAGAGAAATACCTAAGGAAATAGGAAGGGCATTATGCAAGTTAGCTTTCCACTCGGTGTGATTTTCAAATAACTTCCTGTGAGAACAGCTTCAATCAAACAGTAAACTTGAGCAGTTTGTCCCACTAGCTTTCTCTCCACTTCATTTATCAGCAGATTCCCTCCCAGCCTGGAAACAGGCCAATTCCATGAGCTGCCTTCCTGCCTCCTATTCTGAAGTGACAAGTAGTAAAAAAGACGAGAAGTAAGAAGCAGGTCAAAAACAAAAAAAAAAGCAGGCCATGACCTTATGTGAAGAAATGGGGAATCTGCTCCCGAGAGGGTTTGATTTTAACTGTTGCAGTGAGGACTTGTAGGGGTAGGATTTAAAATGTTTAGCACTTTTTTGACGTCATGGTCCCACTGCCTCCAAATGTCTGTCCATCAAACTTTCTCTTTTACCACACACGTTTTCAAAACAGTACTTTCTTATATGATATTTTGTGGCTATATTTTTCCCTTGAGAAAAGTATCTTAAACATGAATATTGAGCAATTATATTTTTCTCTAAGAACAGCATCACTTTTACAACTTGCGATATAAATTGAATTAGGATAAGATTTAGGCTCTATTTAGTGACCACTACAAAGACAATGATGGTTAGCTTACCCAAAACCTTTTTAGAAGTAAGACATAATAAAATTTATAAATACAAACCATGTTGATAGTGTTTTTTTCTTTTCCTTATGAACTTATCTTAATGTTTCTTAAAATTCTATGAATTCTCTGTCATTTTTTTGAAATAGTCTTTGGCTTTTAAAGAAATGATTTTTTACCCTGAGTAAATTTAAAACCCTGTCAGGTCTCCTTCCAGGACTATGTTTTGCGCAATTGCATTGTAGGCTAGGTGTACTGCAAGTTTAACCTGACCGCACTCTGCCGAGGGAGACGCCAAGAGCAAGCTGCTACCTTATCTAAGGTCACTGATTCCGCCAAGTCCCTGAAACATGGGCTTAGTCCTAGTTGGGTCCTTGTCAGATGACCTTTCTATAAATTCTCATAAAATTTGCCACATAATTTTAATTAGATTACAAAGTTGACCGCTGTATGCTAGATCTTAAAAGGAGGCCGAGTGGTGCAGTGATAAAGTGGGAGACTGCTAACTGAGAGACTGGCAGTTCTAACCTGCCCACTGCTCCGTGGGAGAAAGAGTCAGCGGTCTGCTCTGTAGATTTACTGCCTGGGGAAATACCAGGGCAGTTTTACGCTGTCTCTGTGAATTGGAATCAACTTGAAGGCAGTAGGTTTGGCTTTATTTTGGTTTAAATAATGACTGTAACATAGTGAATGCTAATAGCCCACCAAAGAGAGATTGGCAGTTGTATTGCATTTTTAGAACAAAATTGTTAGCTCATGATTTTATATCCTAATAAAACATTCCAGCATACATATTCTTAAGAAAAGAGGCTGCTACTTTTGCTACATACTACTCTAGAAGTGTATTGATTTCCAAGGACTAATCCACTCCCTGGGTTAATACAACTTGGCCTCTCTTGGTCTTTTAAGCTACCTATTAAAGAGATGTATTGTAGATAGGTAAATTGTCGGGCAGGGACAGAACATTGAATTTGAAATTTTGACGCCCGGAGTCCATTGTTGCTCTGCTATATCTTACCTCTGTGACCTTGGCTGAGTCACAGGATTTATCAGACTCATTTTTCCCTTCCGATTTAGAATGCATACAATCTTCCCTAACTGGTGGGAATTTTAATTACATAATACACGTTGTTAGATGCCATGGATTTGCTTTTAACTCTCAAAACCACCGATGAACAAAACATTGTCCACGCCTGCACTATCTTGACAATGATTGCCCCTCTGGGGACCATTGTTGCAGCCTCTGCATCAGTCTGTCCTGTTGAGGGTCTTCCTCTTTTCCACTGACCCTCTGCTTGCCCAGGCATGCTGTCACTCTCCAGGGATGGCTCTCTCCTGACAACTTGTTCAGAGTATATGACATGAAATCTCACCATACTTGCCTCTAGCGAGTGTTCTGGCTGTACTTCTTCCAAGACAGATCTGTTCATTCTTTTGGCAGTGCATTTAATATCCTTTGGCAACATGCACTTTGACCGTGTTATATGAAAGACTAATTCTTGGAGAAGGACCCCGTGTTGGGGAAAGTAGAGGGTCAGTGGGGAGAAAAGGAAGAGCCCTAATGAGAAGGATTGCCACAGTGGCTGCATTGATGGGCTGAAGTGTAGGCACAAGTGCGAGATGGGTACAGGAGAGAGTGCGTATTGTGCTGTTGTACATAGCCTCACTATGAGTTGAACAAGACAACATACAGTAAATCGTTAAATGCACGAATGACATTCGTGATAGAGAAGGTGACTGGCTCACCATGCCTCCTCCTAGAGAACAGTGATAAACCAATTGGTGATGGTGGAGCAGATAGATGATGGTGGAGGTCAGTTTGCTTTCTCGCTTTTTTGCAGCTACGTTTTCCCTGTTTTGTTTTGTTTTTCTTTTCCTTTTTTGTTTTTTTTTTTTTCTTACCTTTTTTAGGTTCCGGGTAGAAAGAAGGTGCGCATGAGGGAGGAATTGACATTGGCCCCAACCTGGGTGGAACAGAGAGAAAGGGACAGTCATATTGTTAGGACCTTGAACAGTCTGAAAAGCAGTCTGTTACGTATCCCTCACTTCATTGCCAGGCGCCCA